TTGATTACACAAAGAACGTTCCTCACAAAACCAGTTTGGTTGAGGATTTTTTAAGGCATGAGAAGGTGAAGAAGGCTTTGGGGGTTAATGGGTCGTTGGTTTTTGAGGAATGCAGTGATTTGGTGGGGGATATTTTGCATGAAGATGTGATGAGCAGGTTTTGGTTTCAAGGGTTTTTCAACGGACCAGAAAGGGTAAAGAGGTTGCTGGGTATGTTCACAAAATCCATATTTACAAAAATAAAAATAAAAATTGCAGCAAAAAACAGTTTTAGTTTGTATAGAAAACATGAGAGACAGAGACAGAGATGGAGTGTGAGAGATGGAAAATAAGATACAGCAAAAATGAAAGAGAGATGTGTGGGCCGTGAGAGAGAGAGAGAAGACATGAGCAGAGAGAATAAAGGAGATAGGAAATGAGGTAATAATTAAAAGGGTATTTTAGGAGTATTGGTGGGTGGAAAAATAGGATTGTATTTTTTAAAATTTATATGGTGGGTGGGAAAATAGGACAGGTGGGTGGAAATAGCAGCACTCCTCTAAAAAAGAACAACCTAACACTAAATTTGCCTTTTTCGTTTCCTCAACTAATTAACTTCTTCAAGGCCTTTTTAAAACATTGTCCGGAAAGGGAAGCTAACATGTGTTATGTATGTTTCACAAAATCATACATTCATCTGAATCCCAGTAAACCAATTAAAAAAATATCATATAATTTCTCCAAATATTTGGAAGCACCCCACAAGAACCCAAAAGACTAAAACATAATAAACAAATTGGATACACAACAATAGAAGAGCTGTGAAATGCATCGGACCACAAAAAAAGTGAAAATGAAGACCACAGAAAAAAAAAATGGAGGGGAATTACCAACTTCATTAAGGTATGAAATTCAGAATATGTAAGTTTCTTCTATGGCTATTCCATTGATTTGTAAAATATAATCATTCTATCAGTTAACGTCAGACAGAAAGATCAGACTCAATCAGATAAAAAAATCAAAATAATGAGCATAACCACATATATATACACACCCACATAGGGAGAGAATGAGAAACCTCACATCTTTGAGGCCAAGCGAGCATAGGTATAAGATGATGGATAGGGGTTCAGTGCTAATTAGATCAGAAGAAGAAGAAGAAAAAAAGAGCATATGAATTTTTTTTTATAATTAGTTGTGGGAAAGAAGATATGTCTTTTAGTTGTTGTTTAGTTTTGCAAGACGGCTTCTGCAATGTTAAAGTGCGCCTTCCTTCATTTAGTGGTTTTTTGTGCCCCGTTAAAGTACGTCTTCCTATAGTCCATGAAGAAATATACAATACAATGAACATATTATGGGTGACTTCCCATTAACGAAACCCTAAACTCTCTCTCTCTCTCTATCTCTCTCTCTCTCTCTCTCTCTCTCTCTCTCTCTCTCACTTGCGGTTTCCAAGCTGCAAGATGCACAACATGGCCAACTACTGGCCACTTGCTGTTCCCATAATTTGTGGATAATTGAGAGGGACCATACACCAAATAATGCATCACTCATAAATGTTGAAAGTATTATTAATTTGAAGTACAACCTACAGATACCTTATTATACAGAAAATGTGTCAAGAAAAATGTTCATCTTTTCAAATTGTATGCAAGTTTATTGTGTTGAATAAAAATTGAAAGAAAGAAACCTTTAGTTTGCAGGAGGCAAGAGGGGTTCTTCTGTAGGCAGAGAGTTCTGTTTTCTTTTCAAACTTGACAGAAGCCAGTAGAGCAAACCGGCAGAGAAAAAGCTGAAAAACCAGGCATTGTTGTAGATGATCACATAAGCATCTGATATTGAAGAAAGAAGACCAATTTTTTGCAAGAAGCCTGGAACCACAGGCAAAATCCCAACAACAAGAGCTGCCATTGCTGCCAAATTGTAGCCTCCTGAATAATAATACTCCCCAAAAGGACTTACTGAGTACAAGTCCTTCATGCTTAGGTCTCTCCAAATATTTGGAAGCACCCCACAAGAACCCAAAAGACTAAAACATAATAAACAAATTGGATAAACAACAATAGAAGAGCTGTGAAATGCATCGGACCACAAAAAAAGTGAAAATGAAGACCACAGAAAAAAAAAATGGAGGGGAATTACCAACTTCATTAAGGTATGAAATTCAGAATATGTAAGTTTCTTCTATGGCTATTCCATTGATTTGTAAAATATAATCATTCTATCAGTTAACGTCAGACAGAAAGATCAGACTCAATCAGATAAAAAAATCAAAATAATGAGCATAACCACATATATATACACACCCACATAGGGAGAGAATGAGAAACCTCACATCTTTGAGGCCAAGCGAGCATAGGTATAAGATGATGGATAGGGGTTCAGTGCTAATTAGATCAGAAGAAGAAGAAGAAAAAAAGAGCATATGAATTTTTTTTTATAATTAGTTGTGGGAAAGAAGATATGTCTTTTAGTTGTTGTTTAGTTTTGCAAGACGGCTTCTGCAATGTTAAAGTGCGCCTTCCTTCATTTAGTGGTTTTTTGTGCCCCGTTAAAGTACGTCTTCCTATAGTCCATGAAGAAATATACAATACTAATTCCATCCATTCCTTTCCAAACAATGGCCAATTGGGCAAGCCAAAACACAATAAAACAACCAAATTCCAATGGTGATGTGCCAAGCCAAGGTAAGACCTGAGACAAAGAGGACTGTTTGATTGAATTTGGTAGCAAAATGAAAATGGCTTCACCACCAATCCAAGTCTCAATTCCATACCAACCACAACCAACCAAGGCTCTAAGAAGAGTGGGAATGTGAGCACCATAAATACCAAATGAGGAACGGGCTAAAACTGGGAAAGAGATGCCATATTTTGTCCCTGGATGACCAGTGAGGACCAATGGGACTAATAGTATTATGTTGGCTGCTACAACTGTTGCAATTCCTTGCCACCAAGCCATGCCAAGGTCAACAAGACTACCAGCTAAATAGTAAGTTGGCACCCCCACAACTAGTCCTACCCAAAGACTAGCCAATTCCCACCTGGAAAAAGTCCTTTGATCAAGTGTTGTGGGCTTGAGATCGTCGTTTGTAAGTGTAGGATCGGATTCGAACTCATCGAATTTGGGACTTGGGTTGTGTTGGGTTGATGCCATGGTGGTGAAAATGGGGCTTCTTCCAAGTGAAAGATGGTGGAAATTGGATTGGTCATGGGTGGTATTGGATCTGATAGTTATGGTAGTTGATGACAATAAAGGTGTGGTGGTGACAAAGTTAGAAGGTCTTGGATTAATTCTGGAAATTGCAGAGGGAAAAGAGGGGTGCGGATGAAGATGGAGATTGAAGCTAAGACTTTTGGGCACCATGATTCACTGGGATTCCAGATGAGCATGGAATCTGTGGTATCTGTTTGAGATGGATGATGAGTGGTGGCTGTTGGTCAAGTCACACAAAGTTATTGTATGACTTTTTTCTGTCTTGGATCAAGAGCTAGATGACAATACAAGTCTACTAATCTAATATATTGTATCTTCTTAATCAAACATTTGCATAAAATGTCAGAGTAAATTATAGAGTTTTCTTCAATGATGCTTAGGAGAATTATATCTACACGTTAATCTCCGTTATTATTATTTCTTAATCAAACTTTTGAAAAAAGCTTCAGAGTAAATTACATAGCTTTCTTTCTTTATTAACTTTACAAATTTCTTCATTATACTCCACCATGCCACATGCCTCAAAGATATTTTTTATTGAGACATCAAAGAAATTGGTATTGGGGCTCTTGACTTTGGATAACCCACCTCCTAATCCCAGGTTGGCTTCCTCAAGAGACAGTAGGAAAGAAGAATCTTGGCAAGAGAAAGACTTCTCATTTGTCTTAAGGGAATATATATATTTTTTTAAATACAATCAATAGTCTAAACTATAAGGGCATGGGTTCTCTCACACACACATTATCAATACGTCATTATTAATGTGTCATGTGGGTTCGAACCTGAGACTACTGATCTGCAAGTTAAGGTTATTTTCCACTAGGCTAGACCCGTTTCTCTCTAAAGAGAACTTAACACTATTGGGAGATGAATGTAAATTTGAAACCTATTATTACATATGTGAATCAGACAGCCTTCCTTGCTAGGAAATTGTAATATTCTTGCCTTGTTTTCATTGTCTTGGCTCCTTAGAAAATAGGCACAAGCCATCACAGCTCGGACCTTAATTTGGTGAAGATGGCCCATAGTAGACACATTTTATCCACCTTAGGCCCATTTGTTGTGAGAATCTAATGGCATAAAACCCTTTTTTTCTTATTGAATATTCTTTCTTTTACCAATGGAAATTGAAATTTGCATGAGTTACTAAGACAAGTTTTCAAAGTGATGTCGAAACAGAAATCGTGACATTCTGACATGGATTTCAAACATGCCTACTATCCTAGGCCTTGGATCGGCTGCAGCAACAAAACCAGATATTCCAAATCAGACGGAGACCAAAGTTTAAAGACAAGATATTGCTTCTAGATGGGGTTCTTGTGTGGGAAAATTGTCAGCATCCACCAGAACCCAACAACACACACCACAAAAAGCCAGAGATGACGGAGAATCCATGGCACCCAAGTCAAATTATTCTTGCTTCATTGGAGAACGAAGAATCTCTATAAATCTGCACCTACTTATCATCTGTAAGGCTGTGACCTGTCCCCTTAAACAATCCAACTGTCCAGACTCACATACAAAATTTAAACAAAGTAGGTGCACTGCTTAGACTTCTCCGATGGACCAAATCTTCCTTGTCTGTCTATATCATCTTTTATTATTGATATCCACTCACTCAAAAAAATAAAAAAAATCATAATTTCAATATTAAAATCATTGCAAATTTTACCATTTTGCTTCTGATGCTTACACTTGGGCAAAGCCGTACCACAAAACTTGCTCCTCTCTCAGCGACCACACCAGAACAGCTACGTGTAAACCACTTGAAACACTCAACGCATCGAATGATCAAATCCCAAATTTATTGCATACAATTTCGAAATCAAAGGGTGCTCCTCTACACTCTTTGTGGTTATATATATTTTCATAGCCAAGTGTCATAGTGGCATAGTTTTAAAGACCAAAACCAAAAACGAAAACCAAACAAAACCCAAATTGAAATGAGAGATGGAGAATGTTGGGTCTCAAGTGGGAGGACCTTCACCCTCAGGATCTTACTTCACACCCCTATTGATTTCCATGGGAGGCATAGTCTCCACAACCCTAGCAATAGTTGCATACCATTTCATTGTGGTTAGGTTCTGCCTCAGGAGGAGGCAGAGGCTGATGCAGATGCAATTACAAGCAAGCCTCTCACAGCAACCACCAATCAGCCAATCCAATGGGGTTGATGAGAAAGTCCTAAGTTCAATCCCAATTCTCTCATACTCAACCAAAAATTGTGAGCTTTTTCGGGTCGATCAAAGCGAGTGTGTGATTTGCTTGGGTGAGCTAGAAGATGGAGATATGGTGCGTTTGTTGCCCAACTGCAAGCATGTGTTCCACAATCCATGCATCGACAAATGGTTTTTGGGACATACAAATTGTCCAGTTTGTAGGGCAGCCATAGCTGTGCCTATTGCCTCTGTGGCAGCATTGCCTGTGGAAAATGATCATGATCATGATCAAGTTAGAGACAGAGAAGTGGAAGCAGAAGCAGAAGCCGAAATTCATGATCCAGAGCAGGGTGTACTTATCACTTCTATTACTACTACGAATTCAACCCAATTACCAAAACCAAATTGTTTGCTTAGGCATTGTGTGTCTCTGGTGGTGTTGCCTATAGAGGAGCATAATAAGCAGCGAAGTTTTGTGAAGGGGTTGGAGAGGTCTTTGTCTTTGGATCAATCCCATGTTCTTATTGACATATACAGAGAAAGTGATGACAAGCCCTCTTCTTCATCTTCATCATCTTCTTCTTCTTCTTCTCCTTCATTGAAACCGGTTCTTGTGCAGTGTGGATCGTTGAAGGCACGATCGATGTGGCAGCTAGATCGAATGTCCTCAGTTTTAGTAAGATCTCTTTCCCAACTGCGGATGAGCCAGAGTAGCAGCATAGCTAATGGCCAAGGGGTTCTTCCTTGTTAGGAATTTTTTTAATTTTCGAAGGCGAGAGTCGAACTTTTGCCGATAGAATGTTGGATTAAGTTCTTTTACCTTACTAGGATGTTTATTTATTTGTGACAATATTCATATCTTTGTGAAAAATAAGAAGCTAGGATGACTTTGTTCAAAAATATTTTTTTTCTTTTTTCACACAACACATTTTTTGGTAGCTCATTATCAAATCATATTTATGCATGTGGTAGTTTTTTTTTAAGAAGGAGAATTCATTCCTAAAACCACAAACGTAAAAAAAGCGACATGATACAGTGGCCTCGTTAAAACTTTCCTAGGACAACCTTATATGACAAACCCCCATAGAGGAAAAAGTACCACACATGTCATGGACTAACAAGAGAGTCCAATTCAGGTCACTTTGGACCATTACAATAAAAGAAGAAGTCAAAAATTAAAACTAACACAAAGACCTCCGACGAGAACAACAATTAGAGACCAACACAGTAGACTCACATAAAAGGACCGCAGAAACCCCAAATAGTAAACTCACAGGAGACGACCGCAGAACATCCCAACTGTCAAAAGAAGCTTGCTATGAGCAAAATCTTAGTCGTTTGACACCCACACAAACTATAAGGCATACCATAGCAAAAACCAAGAGAGAACACAGAGGAGGAGCATAGAAACAACAGTAAAAAGACCTCTAAGAAGTACTCTATTTCAACCCAGAACTTGACAAAGAAAACCTCCTATGACCAAGCATAGTTCTTCAATCTGCGCAGAGTAGAGAAGAGCACCGCATCCCAACAACTACCACCAGCGTCGCTGTTGCCGCCACCGTTAAAACAAAGACAAAACATCAGCCACCAAATATCACAATTCTCCCAAGAAGAGACACAATCCAGCGTCACTATTGTCGCCACTGCCGTTAATGTCTACTTATTATATTGATGTTAGTTGTTTGTTACATCATGTGATTTAAAAATATATATATTTAGTTATATACTCATTCTCAGCACTAGTGATATAGATAAATTTTATACCATTTAATTTCTATAAACAAACAAAAAAACCCAAAAAATAATAAATGACCCTATTGAATTTAATTTTGATTATTAAATTACTTTGATACCTTATTGAGTGTTTTGGTTTTTTTATGAGGCTTCGGCGTTGGGCTTGTTTTAAGAAATTAATGGCAATTTTGTACTTTATAAGAAATTCGAAGCCTCTTTTTTATGTTGTAAATGAATTTTGCATGTATTTCTAAAGTCCATTTTATGCAAAATTTTGTAATAATTTGGGCCCTATATTTAGTATAAAAGCGAATCTCCAAAAAAAAAAAAAAAAAAGTGTTTTTTCTAACATTATTACACAAAAAACAAGGACGAAATACTTTCGCTCGGTTGACTAATTCTCACCATGAACAAAACCCCAACAAGAATTTAGCTCTCATCATTTGTGAAACAAACTCCCAACTCAAGCATAAATTAAGTCATTCATATCAATACATGTATAATTAAAGTTCTCCCCACGTAAGAATTATGGTTCTGTCCTTGATGCAAGAATTATTGTCACAAAATGGACGAGTCCTTGCTTCTGATGGACCTCAAATCAGTTAACCCTAGACATGGATAATGATTGAACGGGCCTTTTCTTCTGATGAAGCCATTTTTGTACACGGCTACAGATTGACAATTTTAATTTTAGAGAGATGTAAAGAAGTAACAGCTGTCAGCAGCAGTAGATGCCACTGAGATTGCGTGTGAGTTGAGAGATGTGATCAAACATCAACCCATGGCAAACAAATCAGACAATCAAGAAACCAGAAAATCACACTGGTCAAGTTTATTTTTATGCAAAGTATGAAGAGAACAAAAAAAAAAAAAAGGATGTAGGACATATCTGAATATTCTTTTTTGGGATGGTGGAAAAAAGAGTAATTCTTCTCCTACTTTTGGTTCTGTTTAAATTCATATGAAGTCGACTGTGATAGTTGCTTTGTACTTGTTTTTATTTATTTACTACC